ATTTTCATATACCTTTACCTAATCTTTACAGCAACCTGGGACATAGATTATACTAATGTCCCTTTTATAACCAATTGGAAAACAGAAGAACCATCTGGTTGGGAGATAGAAGTTTAAGTAACTTGCTGAAAACTTCACTATTAATTGGTAATAGAGCTGCTCTTAGACCCAAGGCTTGTCATTTCTCTTTCAAGTCCGTATTGTCTACTAAGCTTTTCTGTCTCTGGATTACTTTGGGAGCAGGGACACAATTTTTCCTCAAGTAGAATTGAACAGAGAACACCTTCCTCTTGAAGCTCTGTCTTCCATTAACTTTACTGATGCTCCACTCTCCCGATTCTTCTCTCTCTTGTTTCCTGCTGCCTTCCCTAGCTTATCCTCAAATTCTGTCCTCACCTCTCTTCTCTCCATTCTCTCTCTTGCCTATGGCATCTGGTCACGTAGCTTCAGCAGTCACTTCTGGGAGGATGACTTTGCATGTAAAATTGCTCATTGGGCTATCTGGTCTAAGGCCCAGTCTTGTTTCTACAACTGTCTACTTGATCGCTCCAGCTGGGTGTTCTGCTAGGCTTCCAGTCTCAGTGTAACCCATCATCTCCTTCTCCTCTCCAAACCATTTTTTGAATTCTCATTTTCTTTAGTCACTCATATTTTAACGTGGGGGAGGGGTGCCACCTTTGTCTTTTTACTGCTCCTTTTAGTTCATCCAAAAAACATTATTGTGTATTCGCTATGCACCCAGCACCATCCTAGGCACTGGAAATTCACTTGTGAACAAGACAGACAGAGTCCCAATCTTCAGGGAGCATATATTCTGGTCCTAGTTTGTTGATATCATTGGGTATACCCAACAGAATGCCATTTTCCACTTGCAGAGCTGTCTGTTCTGTCTGTTGGTATCTCTTTTTTTTGAGCACTTACTGCATTATGCCTTATCATGTAGGATTATGTCTTCCACCAGAAGGCAGCCTCCTTGAGGGTAGGGGTTACACTTTGCTCATTTCTAATTTTCTGTCTACCTAGCATAGTGCCTTGCCTAGAGCAGGTGCTAAATAAATGTTTGTTGAGTTAAATGTGTTTTCCGTAGGTCTCCCTTTCTTTCCATTGTTCAGTCCTTGCCTCTATACTTTGCTTCCTTCTTCTCGGTTTTGCCCTGGTGTCACTCTGTCTGTTTCTTCTCAGATTCACAGAAGGCTACCTCTAAGAGAACTTTTAGATTCCAAGTCCAATGCTTTCTATACTAGACTGATCATCAGAAATATCTGGTAGTTAAAAAAAACTATTTTTATTTAGGAAATTATATTGGGGTACATCACATAAGCAGTAAAGGTTATAAGAAAAGGATATAAGTCTTAAGTGTATGGCTGGATGGATGGACTTTTATACCCTTGTGACTACCATCCTTGTCAAAATATAGAACATTTCCCGTATGCAGAATGCTCCCTCATGCCTGTATCAAGTCAATATCAACCTCCCTAAAGATCATTGCTATTCTGATTTATCTCACAATAAATTGTTTTTGCCTGTTCTAAAAGTTCATATATATATAGCCTTTTGGGGCTGGCTCCTTTCAGCATTTTGTCTGTGAGATTCATCCATGCTGCTGTGCGTATCTGTAGTTTGTACTTTTTCATTGTTTATGGTATTCCATGGTATAAATCTAGCACTGTGTATTTATCCATTCTATTTTTGGTTGGCATTTGACTATTACAAATAAAACTGCAAGCTGGACACCCAGGAGAACGGAAACAATGGTGAGTTCCACTCCGAGTCTGAAGGCCTGAGAATCAGGAGAGCTCATGGTGTAGCTTCCAGTCTGAATGCTGCAGGCTCAAGACCCAGAGAGAGCTGATGTTTCAGTTCGAGTCCAAAGGCACAAAAGAACTGATGCCCCAGTTCAAAGCAGTCAGGAAGAGGTGTTCCCTCTCACTCAGCCTTTTTGTTCTATTCAGGTCTGCGATGAGGCCCACCCACATTAGGGAGAGCAACCTGCTTTACTCACTCTACTGATGCAAATGTTAATCTTATCCAGAAACACCCTCATAGACCCATCCAGAATAACATTTGACCAAATGTCTGGGCACCCCATGGACTAGTCAAGGTGACACCTAAAATTAGCCATGCCATATGCACTCCTTTCTGTGGGGTACGCATTTTTGTGGAGTGTACATGGTCATGGGATCAGCATACATTTAGCTTTAGTAGACACTACCAGTTTTCCAATGTGATTGTACCGATTTACACTCCCACTAGCAATGTGTTAGAGTTCTACTTGCTCTACATTCTCACACGTGGTGTAAGCAGTCTTTTTCATTTTACCCTTCATGGTGGGTGTATAGTGGTCTCAGTGATGTGCTGGAGCCAACCTGTGTGGCTTGTGGGAATCAATTGTAAACATCTCCTCCTAATTCTGCAATCCTTGATGTCACATTGATTGCTAGAAATCAGCCATGGGGGGAGTATTACAGCAAAGAAATGCTTTTATTCCTGGAAAGTTGGTTGTTAAATATTTACCAGTGTACTATGGTAGTGGTAGTAATTGACCTTTCCCTGATGGGTTATGAGTAAACATCTTTTCATATGTGTATTGGTCATTCATTTATCTTCATTTGTGAAGTGTCTGTTTGTGTCTCTTTTTTTGCCTAAAAAAATTAGGTAGTTGATTTTTTCTTTTTCTTTTTGATTTGTAGGAGTTCTTTATATATTCTGGTCTGTGTTCTTTGTAGAATATATATATTGCAAATATCTTCTCTTAGTCTATTGCTTGACTTTTCATTCTCTTTTTTTTAATGCTTTTTCTCCCCAAATGCCCCCAGTACATAGTTGTATATTTTAGTTGTGGATCCTTCTAGTTGTGGCATGTGGGACGCCGCCTCAGTGTGGCCTGATGAGTGGTGCCATGTCTGCGCCCAGGATCCGAACCAGTGAAACCCCAGGCTGCCGAAGCAGAGTGCGGGAACTCAACCACTCGACCACAGGGCCGGCCCCTCATTCTCTTTTAATAAACAGACATTTATAGTTTTAATTGAAGTGCAACATATCAGTCTTTTCTTTCATGGATAGGGTTTTTTATATGCTCTTTAAGAAATCTTTATCTACCCTAATCACTTGAATATTAAAAAATACTAATTTGGAGGTTTACTGAATCAGATTTTTGAGTGTGGCATTCAGGAATCTGTATATTTTAAAGCCCCTAGAAGTGCAGATAGCTTTTAAATGCATTAAATGTTTCTCAGCCTTATTTTTAATGAGTGAAATGCAAGTTACAACCACAATGAAATGTTACTTTTCTCATCTATCAAATGAATGTGGGTCAAAAGTTGTATAACATATGGTGTTGGCGTAAGATGTGAGGCGCTCTCATACATTGCTGGTGACTGTGTAAATAAAGACAACTCTGTAAAGAGCAATTTAGCGATATCCATGGAAACAAAAATACATGCACTTGCCCTTTGATCTGCCTGGCGGTTCTACTTCTAGGAATATACCCTATTGGTGCTCAGAAATGTGCACAAAGAAGTATGTTACAGGAATATTTACTGCAACGTTATCTGTAATAGGAAAGGATGGAAAATTACCTAAATATCTGTCAATAGACATACAATGGAATATTAAGAAGTCAGTAGAATGGAGACAGTTCTGTATGTACAAATATGTAGTGACTTACAAGTTACGTGGTTAAGTGTAAAAAGGACATCATAGAACAATGTGTTTAATTTCTTGCCAAATGTGTAAAAATGGGTAGTTTATTTTCATGCATATATATATATATATATATATATTTCTGTCTATGTGTGTGTGTATCTATACCTCATGCTGGTGAATTCAAATATACTTATTGAAGGAAAAAAGAAATTCAGCTACAATGGCAGACACTGGGGGTGTTGAGTCCTCTATATAGCTTTTCTGTACTGTTGACTTTTATGTACCGTGGGCATTTGTTGCCTTTCTTTTTTCAGAGCTCCCCAGCTGATTTGGATGGTCATCATATATCTCACGTGAGGAGACCGAGCCTGGAGAGTTTGGGCCCAAGCAGGGATTGCTCAGGACTCCTTCCCGAGAGTCTGTCAACACCCTTCTTCTCCTTCTTCCCATCCTGGCTTGGCCTCTGGCTCTCAGAACCACTTTGTCCTGCACAGTTTTTGCCTTCTGTTGGGGACGTCAAGCTATGAGCCAGACATTCCTCTGAGGGTCTCGGTGGGTGGGAGAAGCAGCCCCATGTGCTGGCCACCAGCCCCTCCTGCCCTCTCTGAGGGTGATCTATGGCTTGTCAGAGGTGTGGGTTCTCGCCATTTGCTGAATAGAAAGCTTCTTTGTTCTTGGGAGTGAAAATAACCCTAAGATAAATGTGGGGGCTGGAAGAGCTCAGGGAATGTTGGGCTCTAGCTGCCTGGAGGCTCCTCCCTGAAGCAGAGGGTCTAAGGTTGGGAGAGACAGGAGCAGGTAGATCATGGTCATGAGTCCTCTGGGGACTGTGAGCTGTGGCCCTTGGAGGGTGGCCATGGGCTCTTCTCAAATGCAACCCAGCTACCAACACCTGCCTGAAACTTACTTCCCTGGTCAGTAACCTTCCGTCAACCCATGGAAATTTCCTATCCTTCGTCACTTATTGGTTAAACAGGACCAACCTCTCCATAACTTCCTCTACTTCCTGTCACCTGGAGGCTGCCCTCTGCTCCCCTAAAAAAAACTCCCTTTTATCTTCTCTCTACTATTTGTCTTCCCATCCCCTTGCCTTCCTACTTGCCCCACGGAGCCTGCATTTAGTTTTTCTGGCTCTTGTGGAGAAAGGACAGGACCCACCTCTGCACCTGGCTGCTGCAAACCCCATAAAGTTCAGGGTATGACTCTTCCATGGACCGTAACCCCTCCCTTCCCTAATCCGGCCCAGGCAGGCCTGAGTTGGAGGACGCTGGAGCTGGCAGAAGAGGAGAATGGGGAGGGGGATTGTTGTTTTGGGATGTTAGTAATCTCAAAATAAAGTCACAGACAAGGTTTCAAGCTCTTTATTTTTCACTTTCATTCCTAAAGTTCTGGAGAAAGTATCCATTTTTAATCCAGGAACTCTGGGAGGTGGCTTAAGACCTTCCGAGGACCCCTCAGGTACAGAAACCCATGAGGGACAAGGATAAGAAGAGCATCAGAGCCTCCAGGAAAGTCAGGCGCTGTGGTCCCCTGATGCAAATCCTGGTTCTGGCTCGGAGAAGAGGAACTTGGGGGCTCAGAAGTCAGAGCCACAGAAAAGGATTTTAGAGAAATCCTCACGGGCCCTGGCCCAGCTCCTCCCTCTTGATGAGCACGTTTGTCTGCGTGAGGCCTGGTGGGAAGGGGTGGCAGGAGGTCGCAAGGAGAGAGAGGGGAAAATGGAGGGAGCCATAAGACACCATCTGTCCAACCCTCCTATTTTCTGCGTGAGAAAATAGAGGTACAGAGAAGCCCAGGACCATGTCTCCAAAATGAGGTCGGAGCAGCCCCTCTCCTGGCACTGTGCTTCTGTTTGTTCTTGCTGGCACCTTCCTGGGGCCTAATGGAGTGGGAGGTTTGAGGAACAGGCTTGGGGACTGCTTGGACCTACAGTACAAGTCATGCAAGGTGACAAGAGGTGCCCTCCCAGCTCCCCTCTGCCCTCCTCGCAGTGGGGATGGCGCCTCAGCTCTAGGGCTTTCCCAGTGTCCCACAGAGACTCCTGTACCACTGACTCCTAAAGACAGACAGTGGCTACTAGGTTTAAGATTAAGAGCATCCTCTGCCCACAACCCCCCACCCCAACACTAGATCAGCTTTGTCTCTCTTTGGCTCTCCTAGTCTGGACGGATGAGGTTCAGGATGAATCGTGGTTTTGGGTTTGTGTAAAAGAATGGAAGACAAAAAGGGATAGGAATGGCAATGACCACATATTGAATCCTAAGTGCCAGACCTTGAACCTGTGCCATCTTACTTCAGGCTCACAATAGCTCTTTAGAGTAGATATGATCGCTCTCATTTCATTGAGTCTTCATGAGGTTCCGTGACTTACCCAAGGTCGCCCAGCTGTGTAGCGGTGGACGGGAGGCTGTGATTCCAGCTGTGTCTGGCTGTGGGCATATGACGTGTTGCTGTCATAACCAGGCTGCCCTCATGTGTGCTGGATGCTGCCTGGCTCAGTGCACGAAGTGTGGGATGTCAATGCGAGCTTCAGGCCTGAGATAACCTCTGGGCAGGGTGTGGGGAGAGCACCTGTGGATGGAGGCTTCACAATCAATCAGAGCATTCCTGGAGGCACCAGCCAAATTCCCCAGAGACTCTTGAGGGTTGGCCTACCCCAGTGCTGACCTCTGCAGCCTCATCCCACCTGATCCTGACCCCTGGCAGGGATTGCTCAGGGTTCCTTGTGGATTCTTGATGTCTCTGGTTCTAGGCTGGTGAAGGGCTGACATTGTGCTCAGAGGCTCAATAATCTGTGAAGGTATCAGTGCATTCCCACCTCTTCCCCTGGCTTCAACCAGCACTCAACAGAATGAGTTGTAATCACATCCGTGTCATTTGCTCATACCGGGCAGAGGCATAAGGGTCGGCTGGGAGCTTCAAGTTAAACTTTTCTAGACTAATAAACTTCCTCCCATTATAACTCAACTTTCCTTGCCTTCCCCTGCCAGCCCCCCAGGCCTACACCCCCCCAGTCCCCTGCCAGCTTTCCTTTCTCTTTCACTGAGGCTGACATCACACTCACATTTTCCAAAAATTCCCCAAATTACCCACAGTCTTTTTAACTCCTGTTGTCGTCTGGAATTACACATCCTAGACGCTGCCCCTGTCATTCCCTCCCACCCTCAGCCCTGAACATCAGGACTCCCAGCTCTGGATCCTGGCTGGCAGTGAAGCAGCAAGAAGGCTCTGACCCACTTAGGAGCTCTTCCTTCACCAGGTCCAGCGGGAAAGGGACTGCTGGAAGGAAGTTCGCCTGTGGCTCCGTGTGCGTGTGTGCCTGTGTGCATGTGTGCCTGTGTGTGTGTGTGTGCGTGTGTGTGTGTGTGTGTGTGTGAAGGGGCAGGCTGGCTCTGAAAGCCTTGTTCTGTGGGGAGGGGTTGGGCCTTTCTGAAGCCCCAGTAGATGGGTCTGGAAGGCACATTGTTCAGTAGAAAAAGCCCAGAGTTTGGACTCAGAAAACCTGGTTCCAAGTTCTGGTTCTGCCCTGGATGGGTGCTGTGCTCTTGCACAGGTCACGTAGCCTGCTCACCTCAATGTTCTCTTCTGTAAATTGGGGCTCTGTATATTTTCCAAAAAAGGCCACAGCAGTATTTCCAGTGCCACATGCTCTTCCAGAACATTACAACTTTCCATTACAAGGCGGAGTCTACGTCCCCTCCAATTGAACTTGGGCAGGTCCCTGTGGCTGCTTCAACAAATAGAATATGTCACAGATGACGCAGTGTAACTTCCTGGGCTAGGTCATAAAAGGCATCTGGCTTCTGCTGGTTGGTTCTCAATCTCTCTCTCTCTTTCTCATGTTGGAACTCAGCCACAGTGCTGTGAGGAAGCCTAGGCCACATGGAGAGGGCATGTGCAGGTTCTGATCGAGAGTGCCACCTGAGGTCTCAGTCAAAAGCTAGCATCAATGGCCAGACGTGAGAGTGAGAGCCTTCAGATATTCTGACCCATAGTCTTCCGGCTGCCCTAGTGATGACGAACGGGGCAGAGAGGAAGGGCTTCCCCACGGAGCCTGCCCAAATGGCAGATTTGTGACCCAAGAAATGTTGTTGTTTTAAGTCACTAAGTTTTGGGGTGGTTTGTTACATAGCACTAGATATCTGCAACAAGATCATAAGAGCAATACTTGGCTTACAAAAGTTGTGAGGCTTAAATGAAGAGATCCATGTGGCAGTGCCTTATGGAGCCCTATAAAAGTATAACACATTGTCATCATCATTGCTGTCACAGCACTTCAATGTGTGTGTACATGACATCAACATATGTATCTATAAGGTGGCAAGAGCTGGGTTAGATGCTTTCCATATATTACTTCATTTAATCCTTATAGTGTTTCCATGCACATAACCTCCTTCCCTCTCTAATCCAGGTCGGGCAGGATTGAATTGGTTGCTGTAAGGATTAAATTAGGTTGGTATTATTATTTTCATCAATTTGCAAATGGGAAACAGAGACGCCACTAGTTTAAATTTCAGTGGAACTGGAATTTGAATCCAAGTCTGGCTTACTGCCAAGTTTTTACTCCTCTTTCTCTAGGAGCTAGACCTGGGCGTCACCTAAAGAAAATGGTGACACTAGGATATCTCAGCAGATCCTAACCTGGGAAAATCCTTCTGCTTGCTTTATCTAATTTTGTTTTCATTTCAACAGCATGTATTGAGCACCTATAATGAGACAGTGTGTTAGGTAGGCCCTGGACGCACAAGACATGGCCCCTTCTTTGAGGAGCTCATAGTGTCTGGGGGCAAATACATACTTCCTGGTTATGTAGGCTTGGGCAAGCTACTCACCATCTCTAAGCCTCAGTTTTGTCATCTGTGAAGTGGGGATAATTATAGAACGCATCTCATAGGATCATTGTGAGAATTATATGATATATAATTCTACTTAAAAGCATTATGTATATAGAAAGTGCTCAATAAATTTTAGTTTTTATAAGTATAGAAATAGAGGTTTACAATATAATGAGATATATGCCAAAATAGAGGGGGACATAAAGGGTTAGGGACGGGGAGAGGAGAAGGTAAGTAGTTCATCCCGGGGTGGGTGGGAGATGGTACAGAGAGGAGGTGACTTATGTCCTGGGATTGCAAAGGCCAGTAGAAGCAGCAGATGGTCTGTGGAAGGACAATGTTTAGTGTGTCCGGGAAAGAGAGCAGCCCCAGATGGCTGGATTGCGGGGTCCTGAGGGCAAGAGAGTTGAGGCAGTCTGGGAAGGGGCTTTGTGACTCAGCTCGTGGTGTAGCGCTGGCCAAGCTGTTCCACGGACTCAGGCAAGAGTCTTCCCACCCAGGCTGAGAGATGAGGCTTTAGTATGCAAATGCCTGGGGCGGCAGGGGGAACCCCAGGCTCCAAGGTGCAAAAGCTTGATGTGAGACTTGTTCTCGTTTTGAAGGAGGAAAGAGTTGGGGAGAACATGGGAAAGCCCAGGGTACCTAGCCCTGGGGCAGAGGGCTCAGAAGGGGATGTTGGGGTGTCAAAGAAATACTTTCACCCCTCTCAAATATCTGCTCAGGGTGGGCCCTACTGAAGCTCAGTTAAGTCAGATCAACAGAATCTGCTCTCGCCAGCAAACCACCACGCCCCCTTGCCCAGAAATGTCATCACTGATCAATGAATGGCTGCTTGGGGAAATTCACCCCAGGAGGCCCAAAGCCTGAGAGTCAACAAGGGGCTTCCTGACTGGTGCATCTGGCCCAAGGGAGAAGTCTCCATAGGAGCCTTGGGCATGCTCTGGGCTCTGTGTGTGCAGAGAACAGCTGCTTTGGTTTAAATATTAATAACGCAAAATGAAATGTGTGGGGTGCCCAGCGCACCAGAGCCCAGCCAGTGTGCGTTGCATCTAATGTCCTCCGCACTTGGGTTTGGAAAAATGTGGTCAGTGAATTTAATATACTTTTTGGCAAAGGGAAGACGACAGTTAACTTCTCTCTGGAGCCTCACTAAAGTGTTTTCTCCCTGGAAAGCAGAGGAGGTAGAGCGGTTTCTCCCAGTATGCCAGCAGGCCTGCTGCCCAAATTCTGTCAGAGACCCTCTGCTCTGCCCACCTTGACACTTGCAGGGGGCTCTGGGGGCCGGAGCATCCCACTGAGGGGAATGGAAGGGTAGTCAGACTTGTTCAAGATCCAGGAGGGCTTGTGTGGGGCGGAAACCCTAGTTTCCGCTGGCTAGGGCTCCTCCCTCCAGGATGTTCTCTTGCCGTTTCATGCCTCCTTCTTGGGTCACCCCCCTGCTGTCCATCAGAGTTGCTCACCGTGAGAATGTCGGTGCCACGGGGCTCTCATGGGGCCCCTGAGGTTGACAACTGATCCAAAGTCTCCAAGGGCCAGATGTCAGCCCCTAAGTGCTTCACTTCCTTCAACCCCACTGCAATTTTAAATCCTGAGGAGGTTCTGACATGGCCGCTATGAAAAAGGATTTCCCCTTCTGCTGCCTCCCCGCACCGTCTATTGCCAGAGCCTCTGTGGGCCTGTTCTCCCTTCCCCAACATCCTAGGCCCTGGCTTCTCTCTTGCCAAATGCCACAGCTCTCGACTGGCTTCTTGAAAAGTTAATAAATGCTTGGTGACATCACAGCCTCAGAGCTGGGAAGCCAGAGAGTGTCAGAGGCCGATGTTTCTGAGGAGAAGTCAGAGGCTCTGGGTTTGCCCAACAAAGGCGCCCTGTGCAAGCATGGTCGCGGTAATGGCCACTGCCACCACAGAACTGGAACAAAGCTGGCCACGCTCTCTCCAAAGTCTGTCTTTGGTTTTATACGACCCGATAATGTTCCCAGTTGAAGCATACCATCCAGCAGTGAGAGCAAGAAGCCCTTGCTAGTGGCCTGGTTGTGGCCCGTTCTGAGGGGCCTCCCAGGCTGGTAGGGAAAACAGTTACCCCAAGACCCCTCAGCGGGGTGAGGAATAGGCTCTGGGCTGGGCCGGAGAGAAGTAGCCCTGCCTGGGAGAGGGTGGGGGCTGCCCTTGCTCGGGCTCTGGGGCTTCAGCTGTGCCCCAGGCTCCAGCTCCCCCCAGTCCACCCGCCTTGGCGTCCGGCCCTTGGGGAAGCTGAGAGAAAGTCTCGCCTGTTCTGGATGCCGCAGGCAGGATCGGCCACAGTGATCTCCTTCATGTGTCACCGCTGGCTGTAAGCGCTGTGTTTGGTTTGGCAAAACGGCTATTTAAATAGCAGTGAAATGTGTCACTGGAAAAAAATTAGCTCATGTTTCCTTTGCCATTTCTTCATGATTTCCATTAAAAGTGTAACCACGGGTAATAAATTAACAAGATCTGTAAAAGCGACCTTAGGAAACCATGGATCCAGAATTCCTATAAACTTCTAGCCGGTGATGCTAAAAAGCAAGGCTACTTGGGGGAAGGGGGATCGGATCACCCATACTTCAGCTTCTTTGTGTCTGATTCCTACTCCCTCCCCCCAAAATGTGAACCCGGCTCCCGTCCAGTTGTTGAATCTCAACTCCCTGTGGAAATCAGACCCTTTCCCATGGTTACTGGATAGCTTGATGTCAAACTGTAGCTCAGTTTCACAGATGGGAACACTGAGGTCACAGGAAAATATTTGCCTTGAGCACAAAACCCAATCAGTGGAAGGATGGGGGAGCCGGGAGCAGCAACTCTTTCCGATGGCTGCCATCTCCGACACACACACACACACACTCACACACACAGCAATGCTTACTTGTTTGTGCTAGGCTGAGGGGCAAAAGATGGTTGTAGGGTCCTGGAAGTCTCTCTGGAGTCAGTGGGGTAAAAAAGCTGCTCCCAAGGAAGGCAGCCCTGAGGAGTGGGTTTGGTTTGACACACAAGAGCTGTGGGGGTACCAAGGGAGTGTCCTGGCAGTGCTTTACCCAAGGGATGGGACAGTAGGGGACAGGACGGGGGGAGTGTGTTAGTGTCACACCCAAGACTGGGGAAGGGGAGAGGACCAGGAGAGGGTGTCAGTGTTACACCCAGGGCTAGAGGAGTGAGGGAGACTGAGCCAGTGTGTTTAGTGCTACACCCAGGGGCTGGGAAGTAGGGGACAGGATTGGGGAGCATGTTCAGTGTTACACACAGGGACTAGGGAGTGGGAGAGAGGACGGGAGGAGTGTGTTTAGTGTTACACACGGGAACCAAGGGAGTTGGGGAGAGGACGAAGGAGTATGTTCAGTGTCACACCCGAGGCTAGAGGAGTGGGGAGAGGAGAGGGGGAGTGTGTTCAGTATTACTCACAGGCCTGGGGGAATGTGTTAGTGTGACACACAGAGTCAGGGTAGAGAGGATGGAAGGAGTGAAGGGAAGGCAAGTGGTAACCAACTAATCTCCTTTTGCTGGCCCTCTGACCCTGTCCTTCCTCAATTATCCCTTTCACAAGAATTTCCACCCCTCTTTATTAGTCTAATGTGACTGCCCCTTGGTCTCCCGTTAGACAGAAGATGGGACGAGAAGGGGGACTTTTGTGCCATTTTCTAGGCCCCAGGTCATCCAAGCTCCAGGACATCCTCTGTCCCTGGACCCGAACTCTTCTTGCGTATTGGCCCCAGGGGTACGGAGGATTCCTTTCGGCTTTTTCTGATTGGGTGGAGGGTCGAAACTTCACGGAGAAGAGGTGCCATCTTTCACAGATTTGTCATTACTCTCTCCCCTTCTAGCCATCCAACCCCCACCAGTATTCGTTCACTTTTCTCTAGGGGTGTCTGGCTTTCTCTGCTCTTTCCTCTGGGTGAGGCTCAAGTGACCAGCTCCTTGATAAGGGCAACAGCCCTCTCAAACCCCCTCTGGGTCCTGGACTCCAGAGGGCCCTTCCCTTCCAGCCCGAGGCTGAGGGCTCTGCCAAGGCACCTGCTGGAGTGAAGGAGAAACATCTGCTTGTTTTATTTACATCTCATCCAGATGTTTGGGTGCCATGTCAACGCGCAGCCTGTGGACCGTCTGAATGCAGTGGCTGGAAACTGAGCTTCCCTCTGCTTGGAGCTGGGAGTCCGGGAGGGAGGGCCTCTGAAGTGAGAAGGGATGGGGCTGGGCAGCAGACACTGCCTGGGGATGGGGAGAGGCAAGACACAGAACTGGAGGC